ATGATAATTCTATTCTTAGATTTTTGAGGAACCATCATACTGTTTTCCATAGTGGTCACATCATTTTATATTCCCACTAGCAATGCACAAGGGTTCCAATTTCTCTACATCCTTGCCAACGTGCTATTCATTCTTTCCTCTTTCCTTCTCTTTTTCTTTTCTTCCCTCCCTCCCTTTCTTTTTTTCTTTCTTGATAGTAGCTATTCTAATGGGTGTGAGGTGGTAGCTTATGTGGCTTTGATTTACATATTTCTAATGATTACTGTTGAGAATCTTTTCATGTGTTTGTTAGCCATCTGTATATCTTCTTTGGAGAAATATCTATTCAAGTCCTCTCCCCTTTTCTTAATCAGGTTGTTTAGGTTTGTTTTGTTTTTTAATTGAGTTGTATGAGTTTTTAAAAATACGTTCTAGGGGCACCTGGGTGGCTCAGTCGTTAAGCATCTGCCTTTGGCTCAGGTCATGATCCCAGGGTCATGGGATCAAGCCCCACAACTGGCTCCCTGTTCGGCAGGAAGCCTGCTTCTCCCTCTCCCACTCCCCCTGCTTGTGTTCCCTTTCTCACTGTCTCTGTCAAAAAATAAATAAAATCTTTAAAAATAAATAAAAAAAAATACATTCTGAATATTAGCCCTTTATCATAGATATGACTTGCAAATATTTCCTCCCATTCTATAAGTTGTCTAGTCACTCAGATGGTTATGTTTTTTTTTTTTTTTTTTTTAATTTACGTCAGAGAGAGAGAGAGAGACCACAAATGGGGAGTGGCAGGCAGAGCAAGCAGAGGGAGAAGCAGGCTCCCCACTGAGCAAGGAGCCCGATGAAGGATTCAATTCCAGGACCCTGGGATCATGACCTCAGCCAGAGGCAGACGTTTAACCGACTGAGCCACCCAGGCATCCTGATTTGTGTTGATTCACATAGTTTCTAATTATCATATAGTCCTATTTCTCTATTTTTATGTATGTTGCCTGTGCTTTTGGTGTCATATCTAAGAAACTACTGCCAAATCCAGTGTTGTGAGGCTCTTCCTCTATGTTTTATTCTAAGGGTTTTATAGTTTCAAGCTCTTACACTTATGTCTTTGATCCATTTTGAGGGAACTTTGCATATAATGTAAGGTAAGGGTCCAACTTCATTGTTTTGCATGTGCACATCCAGGTTTCCCAGCATCATTTGTTGAAGAGACTGTCCTTTTTGTGGTACCCTTGTCAAAGATCCCTTGACCATATACATAAGAATTTATTTCTGGACTCTTTATTTCACTGATCTATATGTCTCTATGTCTATGCCATTCTGTAGGTTTGTAGTAGTTTTGAGATCAGGAAGTGTGAGACTTCCAACTTTTCTCTTTTCCTTAAGCCTCCACATTAAGTTCAGGATGGATTTTTCTATTTCTGCAAAAAATGCTGTTGGGATTGTAAAAGGAACTGTAGGGCTCCTGGGTGGCTCAGTTGGTTAAGTGTCTGCTTTCGGCTCAGGTCATGATCCCAGGGTCCTGGGATGGAGTCCCATATCGGACTCCCTGCTCAGTGGGGAGCCTGTTTCTCCCTCTCCCGCTCCCCCTGCTTCTGTGTGCTCTCTTTCTCTGTCAAATAAATAAATACAGTATTTTAAAAAGAGGAACTGTATTAAATAAAACTACCAAACTGTTTTACAAAGTGACTGTACCATTATACAGTCCCACCAGCAATGAATGAAAATTCCAGTTATTCCACATTCTCGCAAATAGTTGGTACGGCCTCTCTTTCATTTTAGCCATTCTAGTAGGTATATGGGGTTGTCCTTGTGCCTTTATTTTGCATTTCCCCAGTGACTAATGATGTTGAGCATCTTCTTGTAGATAGTAGATACTGTATGTATCTACTATCTACATATCTTCTCTGGTGAAGTATCTGTTCAAATCTTTTGCTTATTTTTTGAGTTACTTGCTTTCCTATTATTAAGTTCTAAGAGCTCTTTGTATGCTCTGGATACATGTCTTTAATCAGGTGTATGTTTTGCAAAGACTAGTCTGTGGTTTGTCTTTTTATTCTCTTAACACTGTCTTTTGAAGAGTGTAAGTTTTTAATTTCAGTGAAGTCCATTTCATGAATATGTTACTTTTCATTCCTTCCTCTGTATTCAACTTTCTTTCTAAATTAATTTTTGGGTAGTTCCTTCCAGCAGAGCCTGGGAAAGGTAAATTCTCATCTGGAAAGGCCTTTATTGTACTTTCAACTCATACTTTATCTAAGCAACTTACAGGCATTTCTCAGCATTCTGAGTACACTACTCTATTGTCTTCTGGCTTCTACAGCTGCTACAATGAAAATTTTTTGATAATCTAATTGAGAATTTTTTAAAGATAATTTTTTCCCTGAATGGTTTTAAAATACTATCCTTTCATTTTGTTGTATCTAATAATTATATTGAAAATTATTTATACAATTTAGGGCCTTTGTTTCCTAAATCTTTAGATTTATATCTTTCACAAATGATAGCCATCATTTCTTTGAATTTTGCTCTACTTCTTTATTTCTATTCTCACTTTCTGGAACTCCTCTGAGCCATATAATGAAACTGTTCATTCCATCTTTCATATCTCTTATCCTCTCTGTTGCAGTTCTTTTATTTTTTTTTACTCTCTTTCCTTCTTTTAGAATTTACTAATTCTCCCTTTAATCTACTTTTTACCTCATCCACTTAGTTTTTTAAAATATTCTAATTTTTATTTAGCATTTCGATACTTCTTCTGTAATATGTAATTATTTGACATACTGAGGTTTTATTTAAAGTTACCTTGCTACTTCCTCAAATCAGTATCAATTTATATTTGTTAGTTCTTTTTACCTAGTGGCAACTATTTCTTTTGAACTTTCTATTTTTCCTTTGGTCTAAGTTGTTTGAATTTTTCCAACTCTATTAAGAAAAATTTTACTCACAGAAAATTAGAAGGAATGATACAATTAACATCCAAATTCTCTCTACTTAGATTCTAAATTTTTTTCATATTTATTTTCTCTAACATTTTGTTTTCCATCTTACCATTTGAAATGAAGTTCCAAATTGATTGATTGAGAAAGGAGTCATAATAGTGGTTACTCTTGAAGGTGATTACTGAATTGGAGTGGGTTTGGAGAACCTTTCTCAAGCACTAGAAATGTTCAATACTTGATTTCTGTGGCAGTTACATATGTAGAAGGTCACTCAGCTGTACACTTGAGATTTGTATACTTTAAGTTTTATTTCAAAAAAGAGGATGGAAAAAGTTGTAGGTGTCATGACAATTTATGCCTAAACACCGAAAAATGTATTTCCTAAGAATAAAGACATTCCCCTACATAGTTACGTTCCTGGTATCAGACTAGGAAAATTAGTAATTCCATAATAATGTATTTAATCAACATTCAGCATTTCCCATCACAAAATGCCTTTTATAGCTCTTCCCCATTCTAGTCCCAAGCTAGGATCACACACTGCATTTGTTTACATCTCTTTAGTCTTGTTTAGTGTAGAATAATCTCCAATCTGTTTTGTCCTCTGTGACATTGAGTCCAGGCCATCCATCTCTCTTATAGAATGTCCAAATTCTGAACCTGTTTGTTTCTTCATGGCACTTAACTTTTTCCTTTATCCCCTGTGTTTCTTGTAAAATGGAAGGTTCAGAAGCTTAACAACATTATTGTCTTTAGCTAGAATACTTCATAGATAACAGTCATCCACTGAGTTTAAAATTTTAGGACCACCTAGAAGCTCTATTTGGTTCCTTCTTAGGAGTCCTGTTGTTCTTAAGTCTTCTAATGCACTGATAAGCTCTTTCCTTGTGTATTTTATAACATGGGATTTTGAGCTTATCAGTGGGCATTATCTATGTGGGTTCCATGAGCTCTAGATAGGCCAAAGAGATTCTGCATTTGCTTCTGCCTACTGCCTGACTGCTATTACCTCTCCAGGACCAGTTGTTGGGTTTAAAGTTCCTGGACAGCGCCCATAAATATGAAGCCCACACCATAATGAGGACAGGCCTATAATTAAGAATTCAAGGGAAACATTAATCTTTATCTGGACTGCTGGTGAAGACAAACAAGTTTCATTGTTATTTATGTATGCTGAGTAGATATTTTCTTCTAGTTTACCCTTTTGCTGAAGGTAAAACCCTTCAAAGGCTCAGCTTTATGTGAGGATCTGAGTTCCAACTACCCTTTGTGACACTGGCCAAAGGCCTAGTCTTGCATCCCCATACACTGACACTCGCATCCCTTTGTTGCACAAGGTGAGAAACTGACCTCTCTGGAGGCCACTGTAGCACTTTTTCCAAGAAAATCCAGAATTACTACTAATGCTGTGTGAGGGGAAAAAAAATTAAAACTACTTTGATTTCACTTGTATTTGGAAATGAAAAGGCTTTTATTAACTTCAAAAATAACCATATACATTTTTAAAAAGTAGTGATGTATACAGGTGCATTATTATTAAATCCAATGATAGTACTTGTTGCACTCAAGGATTACAGACCACCCATAAAACTGTGCAGATTTCTCTGCTTTAAATATTACTCACAGAGTAGTCTGTTCCATTGGTAATACTTACCATCAACAAAAGTTACGTAGACAGAGAAAAAATATCAAGCACACTAAAAATCCAACATTTGATAATAAGTCCAAATAGGGATTTCTCAAGGGCAAAGAACAAAGCTGACCTGACATGTTAAACAACAAACAAGCTCAAGTCTTGAAATTCTTTTTGATTCTAAACTCGTACTTAGACTTGAGTGTGGTTCAAGTTTGGTAGATAGGTTATAAAATGTTAAGTTGGACACTAAACACAATACAATTTGTTCCAGTTAAGAAACACAGACAGTGGCACCAAATAATTATGTCTTTTTCACTCCTGTTTGAAATGGATGCTTCCATTTGCATGACCATGGAGTATGGAGTGGTAACATATTTCAGTTTCAACAACTACTATTTCTGAAAAACACAAAGAAAAAGCAATGATGACATTAAAAGCTGACTCACCACTGTCCTCTGTTTATTGGGCAGGAAGACTCTAACGATAGGTTTTTGTGGTGACTTGGGATTGCTCCGTGATACATCTGTGGGATTTTGAAAAACTGAAAGAGATGAAGGTAGCACTGAAAGGCTGGAAGAGGAAGAAGATGTAACAGTGTCCGTTGATGCAGAGCTAGAAACAGAAAAATCAGTTCCATTCCCCAGGGATTCCAATAACTGTTGTTCTCGCTGTTGGAGGGCATCTAGCTTGCTGGTGTATTCTTCATAGGCCTATAAAATAAAGCAGACTTACGTTGAAGCTGGACTTTTTCCTGACAGTAACAAAAGTAAATAAATTTAAGTTTGGTTATAATCTCTTTATAATCTAGCTAATAGGGTTTTAAGTTAGAAGTTACAAAATAAATGCTAAAAGTACTATAAATTAATACTTATACTTTTAAATTGATAAATCTTTTGTGGTAAGATACTACACTGCATTGAGAAACTGACAAAAACATAAATGTCTAGAATAGCCATGAACGTTAATTTAAAAATACAGTATTTAGAATGTTCTGGTCATATTGCAATTTACCTTCCAAACCACTTATCTAACATAAAATAAAATACTATATACTACATCAAGGGTAAGTACAATCTCTATTACAAATTTATTTTTTTCCAGAAAATCTGTAGGCATATAAAGTGTCATACCTTTCTCCCCTCCAAAGAACAGAAAGAGAGGTTGAAAAGGAGATGAGGTCTTAAAAGAGATTTGTCAAAAAATAAGACTCAGGTATAGTGTCAGATCGCACCATTACTTAAAAGATGTATAACTGCCAGCTTCTTTCTGAAATAGCTATTAGTTAAAATGCTTTATTCTCCTCACTATGGGTCTCTGACGATCCCATCAAATACTGCTTAGAGAACAAAATTTTATCTGAAAAGGTGGTTTACAACCTGCAGTCAAGAAATTCTGGGGCCATTATCCATCATGGTTTCTTTCTACAAGTTTCATTTGACTAAAGCTATAAAGTCAAATGACCACGTAAGATATCATATTCTAACAAAATTTTGAAAACAGGGGGGCCTGGGTGGCTCAGTTGTTAAGCGTCTGCTTTTGGCTCAGGTCATGATCCCAAGGTCCTGGGATCGAGCCCCGCATTGGGCTCCCTGCTCGGCAGGAAGCCTGTTTCTCCCTCTCCCACTCCCCCTTCTTATGTTCCCTCTCTCGCTGTCTCTCTCTCTTCTGTGAAATAAATACATAAAATCTTAAAAAAAAAAATTTTGCAAACAGAGTAATTTTGAAAGTGAAGAGATGGAATGAATTGGAATATATATGTCTATGGTTCTTTAAGGCAGTGGTAATCACTCTCCCCCACGCCATAGGACACCATTTCTGTCCACCACCATACATAGATGCAGTAGCTACAAACATTTATAAAAGCCTACAAGGGGGAATCATAGATTTTAAAATGGCATTTCCTATCACTCAAAGAGTTTATTATTGGGCTGCAGAGAAGTAGGTGGATGTATTTTCATTTGTTTAAGTGCTGTACATGAGAAATAAACAAAGAACTTTTTTTTTAAAGATTTTATTTAATTGACAGAGACACACACATACAGCGAGAGCAGGAACACAAGCAGTGGGAGCGGGAGAGGGGGAAGCAGGCCTCCTGCCGAGCAGGGAACCCGATGCGGGGCTTGATCCCAGGATCCTGGGATCATGACCTGAGCTGAAGGCAGAATGAGGAGGGAAAGGGCCTTAAAATGTCAGCACTTAGATGGAGTTAAGTGGGGAGAAGAGAGTACTGTGTACAGGAGAAATTCTGCCATAAAATAAAGAGGTAGGAAATTTTGGGGCGCCTGGGTGGCTCAGTCGGTTAAGTGTCCAACTCTTGATTTCGGCTCAGGTCATGATCTCAGAGTCCTGGGATCGAGCCCTGTGTCAGGCTCCATACTCAGCCCGCAGTGCTGGTTCCTCTCCCTCTGCTCCTCTCCCCCCACCTCCTGCTCTCAAGCAAATAAAATCTTAAAAGAAAAAGAGGTACGGAATTTCAAGGCATAGAGCAAAAACTACAGACGAGTATAGCTGAATGCTATTTAGTATCTGGGACATAGCAAGGGATCAATATATGCTTGTGGTATTTAAATGCAAAACAGCAATACAGGGAAGCAAATAATAAGACTGGAAAAGTGGGTAAGGGACCAGCTTGCAGAGGGTGTATATACCATGCTATGAAGCCTGAACTTCATTCCACAAGCAAGGGAGAAATTTTATTTCAATAAAGACCACTGCACTTGCTATGCTAGACCTTAAAATGTAATTGCAGAAAAAAGGAGGGATAATACTAAACTGAGCCACTGAGGTTAAGGGCCTAAAGTACATCAAAATGCCCTCTCCTTTAGCCTACTAGCTACCCTACCCTGATTCTGGAAATGTTTCATAGCATTTCAGGGCATTATAACCAAATCAATTCAAAATCTTCTAAGCTGTATTTTGATTTAGTTTTCAGTTCCAAGATCTAATTACTTAAGGGCATCTCTTTCAATATGATCCACTTTTTAAGCCTAATTTAAAATCAGTCAATTAAGGAGCACCTGGGTAGCTCAGTCGGTTAAGTGTCCACTCTTGATTTCTGCTCAGGTCAAGGATTTCCACTCAGGATTCTCTTTCCCTCTCCCTTTGCCCCCTCCCCCCACACTCATGCTCTCTCCCTCTTTCAAAAAAAAAAAAAACAGTCAATTAATATATAGTGAAAACACATGTGCCTCGCACTGTTTGGGCCTCAAACTACAAAAATAAAGACGGACACAATTCCTACCCTTAGAAGAACATATACATGCCGTCTAAGATATAAAAATTACCTCCTGCATAGATCAAATCGTATTTACTATCATCTGGACAAGTACATTTACTACACAAAATTAGCCTTAGGAAAAGTAATGCATGTAAAAAATAAACTCTCAGAATGTTATTTATCAAAATGTTAGTCTTAATTTTTGAAAGAATACTGTTCCCTCTATTGTGGATTACAAACTATTTCACTGCATTATCAACAGCTCTTCCTTTCCGTTCTTATTCCACCTCGCTCCATCCTCACAGCTGAAATCTATCAAGGCACTTGTACCTGGCTTGGCTCATTTCTTCCCATTATTCTTGCTGCATTCAGTGTGGATTACTCTTTCAACACTCCTGTCTTGAAGTTCTCTAAATCTCTTATCTCTAAAGGTATTTATCTTCACTCTACCTTTCAGATCCACTAGTTCCAAATGATGACAAGATTTCAAATTGTAACTTCCTTTGTCCCTGAGCACACCTTCTTAAGTTTCCATCTCACTACATTAATCTGTTCATGAGCAACATTAATCCCTTCAAGTTTCTTAGATTTGGGCATTCACTGTCTTAATTCCCCTACTTTGTGACTCACCATTTCACTAATGCCACTAGTAACATCTCTGATTCTCTGGCTAATTCTTATTCTTTTACCAACTTGTTTGTCAAATACAAATATTGAGTAAATCCTACCATTTAATTATTCCATTCTTTCTCTCAGGTTACTACACACTGCTGAAGAAAGTAGTAGTAAGACAAAGCCAATTAGTTCCTTCATCAATTCATGGAAGTAAGTCCTTCACACTACTACCTGAAAAATTTTACTTATTTTAAATATCATCATACTACGTTTTTCACAATACTTACTCCAACCTTTTCTATGCTTCTTTGGTTCCTTACCTTCATCCCTTAATGTTTAATTCACTCAGAAAAAAGCATTAACTTCAAATTTACACTAAAGATCAAAGCCATTAAATAAAAGCTTCCTCTTCTTTTCTTTGTCTAAGCAATTCTCCACACCTTTCCCCATCCCTCTTCTGTTCTCAATTTTGTGTTGGCACTGAGTGTTTAGGGCCTCAGGCCCTGGTATACTGTAATCCCCATTTTCTCTTACGTCTTCCAACCTTTTCCTCTGTTTCCTTACCCAGCAAATGTGAACACCTCTTCCCACATAAATGCACACTTCAGCTACCACTACTGCCATCAACAAAATTCTTGTCGTTCTTCAAGATGTTGCAGATCTAGATACTTTTTCAGGATGCAGCTTTCCCAAAACCCTGTTCTTTCTCATCAAAATCCTACTTATTTTTCGAGGCGCCTGGGTGGCTCAGTCAGTTAAGCGTCAAGACTCCTGGTTTCGGATCAGGTCATGATCTCATGGCTCTTGGGATTGAGCCCCATGTCAGGCTCCGCGCTCAGAGGGGAGTCTACTTGCGGATTCTCTCCCTCTGCCCCTCCCCCCACTCACACTCTCTCGCAAGTTCTCTCTCAAATAAAGAAACAGTAAATCTTAAAAAAAAATCCTACTTATTTTTCAAAGTCCAATTCAAAGCTCTGCTTGATAAAACCCAAGGGGTATTCTTTGTCTTCACCTCCTTTAGAGTATTATGTTCTTCTTTATATGACTATTTCGTTCTTATTTATGAAGAAATTTTGTGAGGATTCAATGACATAATACAAATAAAAGAAGTTATTACAGAGACTACCATATAGCAAAAGCCCAATAAATATTCTTATTAGTAGTAATAAGTAGAACTAGTAATTCTTGTTATGTTTACTACTGTTATCATTATATTACTTAGCTGAGTTTTTAAGATGACTCTACTAAATTATAAGCTAGTTGAAGGCACAGATCATGTCAGATGTTTCCGAATTAAATAAAAAGAGTACAGGGGCATCTGGGTGGCTCAAAGGGTTAAGCGTCAGACTCCTGATTTCGGCTCAGGTCATGATCTCAGTGTTGTGAGACAGTCCTGTGTCAGGTTCCATGCTCGGTGTGGAGACTACTTAAGATTCTCTCTCCCTCTCTCTCTATCCCTCATGCCCAAACCTGCTCCTGCTCTCTCTCTAAAATAATAATAATTATTATTATAATAAAATTAAATAAGTAAAAGAATACAAGAACACTTAATATCATTAAGATAACAATATTCCCCCAAACTTATCTACGGATTCACTGCAATCTTTATCAAAATCCCAGTGGCTTTTCTGCAGAAATGGGCAGGCTGATCTTAAAATTCTTATGTAAGTGCAGGGTACTCAGAATACCCAAAATAATCTTGAAAAAGAACAAAGTTGGGAGGATTTAATTTCTTCATTTCAAAAGTTACAATAAAGCTACAGTAATCAAGACATGTATATTGGAATAAGGATACACACACAGAACAACACAATAGAAATGAGAGTCCAGAAACAAAGCCTTACATTTATGGCTAACCGATTTTCGACAATGGTGTTG